GAATTCACTTCTGGATCCGCCACTGGTTCATGGATGCCGTTTTTACCATCGACTTTCATTATGTAATTGGGGGTGGGTGGGTGCATATGGAAAATCTTGCCACTAAAAGATGTAATAGTAGGATTTTCATAATAACGATTTGTTGCGTCGACAATTACAATGTGTGTCGTAAATAAGGGCATCCGTGGTGGATTCACGGCTACACGACGATCCTACTGCCCACTCATCTAACTCCTACCGTGCTTCTCTCTCTCAGGAGTGTTTGCCAGTAACTTGCCAAACTACCAGCAGATGGATATCATGATGTTCATTATGGGCAAGGCTCCGATCTACTCCGCCGACGACGATGACGACGACGACGGCCCCAACGAGACCGACTTTCTCTTGCGCAAGATCACTCTCGAGTGCTTGCTGGAGGTGAGAAGCCCTGCGTCTTGATCTTCTCGATCGGTGCATCCTCTGTCTCAGGCATCCTCTGTCTCATTTGGGTGTCTCGCCTCCCCTGTTCGTTGTTTCCTTTGCACATTATTTGCCACTGTCGAGCCCTGCTGCATCGGCATTTGAATCTGTCGGTCGAAAAATTATTTCCGACATCACCAAGAATGTCCAGCATTAGGCAGAAATTTGTGTATGAAAACTGTAATACTCACCACGTGCGCGTGTGCGTGTGTTTGCGGCGGGCAGGTCGGTAAGAAGTACACGGTGAGTAACACTCCACCGTCGATCCCTCACTGTATGAAGACTGTGACATTACTCAGCGCGTGTATATGTGGGCAGGTCGGTAAGAAGTACACGGTGAGTAACACTCCACCATTCGTTGCTCTTCAACATGCACGCAGATGGACGAGGGTAAGTTTCGGCCAGTCGTGAAATTTGCTCGCCTACAACATGTTTCGATGCGAGCTATGCTGCTGCTAGCTAAACTAGTAGCAAAAACATTGGTATTCTCTAGTTGTGTTGCAGCTATGGCTGGATCGATATTTACGTGTTTGTTCTTCCCATGCAATCTAGTGCTGTTGGCGGAGGTAGTAGCTATAAAGCAATTGTTTACTCTACAGTGATGTCGCAGTTTCCGGTGGAGTGTCTGGGAATAATGATGAGATGCCAGCCGTACTAGCTGAGGCGTGTCTCAGAGATCTGCTCTGCAGGGCAGCGTTTGGCAATATCAAATCGGTTTTAAAACCCGTGCTCAGGTGAGGCTGGTGCAATTGAGTCATTCAGTCTATTGTAACGTTTTTCTACTGTTAGATGTACAGTGCAGCATCAGTAACACAGTTGATCATTAATATCATTGGATAGTACCACAAAATACGACTTTCATCATCATATTCAATAATTATTTGAAAAATTATTAAAAAAAATTTTATAGACAAAATTTGTTACATTCTTACTGTAGATGCAGGACAGAATCACTCTAGCAATAAATGTACACTGCTTTAATAATACACAGAGACTGTCCTAGGAAGATGCAACCTTACTGCTTTGTTGGCTTCAGGGGGGATGCAGATAGTGGGAAGTAGATACCCTAGTAGTACCCTCCTCAAGATAATTACCTGGACTTGTCTTGCATTGTACCTTGTATGCACCTCTCTGCATTGCAAATTTCAGTGTGGTTAGCTCAGTCGCCACTAGGACTGTGTGTATGTTCTTGCAGGCATCTGCATCTACACGAGCTTTGGACCCAGTGGCACTGCGACCACGACTTTCCGATCAGGCTTTTCAAGATTGTCACGTATGCGGTGCAGGTAGGTTGCCGGCGCCATCTGTCTGCACAATAAATGACGAAACGGCGGGCGCCGTCGGTGTGCATACACACTGCAACATTGGCATGTTGCTTTGCGAGTGCGCCCCCCTGTCATTCTGTCACGTAACTTCAAGAGTGCAGATGTGAGTGTGTACCTTACCCGCATGTGCCTCGCACCCCCACGGCCTAGTTCACCTACGAATGCTCCATGTCCTATAACACGCAGTCTTTCCCAGCGAACGTGGTCGCACTTCCTTCCCGCGCAAATACAAAGTCGTTCGCTCGTCGTAACAGGAGTCTATCTGCCATCGAGCAACTCTGCGCATCTGACGACAACTCACCGTCTCGTCGTGACCGCGTCGTGCGCGCGTGTGATCGCGGCGCCACCTGCTGACGTTTCTGTCGCGTTGTTACAGGCGCAGTACTCGTACG